TATTGTCTTTTAAACATATCCCTGAGGTATCCTGGTAATAACTGCTATTTTTAACCCTAATGCTGCAGCCTGATTGTTTCCCACAAACACCCATACCTCTATAATCTATCAGTTTAAATTCCTAGACAAGTCATCAATTACCCTCTCAATTGAATTGACTAATGCAACCACTCCATCCTCAGAGAGATAAACCCCATCCCTTGCATATATATCACATTTGCCAAAGAATAGGTCCCAGTTATCAGTGAATGGGATTGCAAGTTCCTTGCAGTACCTGTCTAGCCAGCAATTTATACCAATTGCCCTAGACATCCATTCATTGCCCACTCCCTTTCTAGGCAATATGCTACATATGACTGGGATCCCTTCCTTAGACCTAACTACTTCTATGGCTGACCTGTACTTATCCAGCAGCTCCTCTCTCCTGCCCTTCCCAATGTCATAACCCCCAGCACTAAGACATAATGGGCTTGTTCCCATTACCTGCCATAATATTATCCAACCTGCTGACTATGTCACCAACACCAGCTCCAGGAAGGCACACACTCTGTCTGACCTTCCTGTCTCTGTTACAAAATGCACGGTCCATATATCTTACATGGGAATCGCCTTCTATTAAAATATTCTTACCTTGATTAGCAGGGGAATCAGTGGTACCTTCAACCCATAACCACTGAAGTACACTCGTCTTGCTACTTCTACTTACATTACATAGGCATTCACATGCAGATATATACATACACACATCTAGGTTTTTCTTCTTTTGTATTAATAGTTCTTGTTTTTCTTTATTTTCTTTATTCTCCATGGGGAATTGGAAAAGAATCTTTCCTCCGTAAGCCATGCATGTCGTAGGAGGTGATTAAAATGCCTGGAGCAGTGGGCTAACAACCTCTTCTCCTGTATAAACTACTAAAAGCAAGAAAAAGAAAACTTATAAAACTGAGATGTTTGAATGTGTGTGGATGTAGTGCAGATGATAGGAAAGAAATGATTATTAGTGTTATTAATGAAAAAAAGTTGGATGCCCTAGCTCTGAGTGAAACAGAGCTGAAGGGGGCAGGGAAGTTTCACTGGGGAGAAATAAACAGAATTAATTCAGGAGTATCTGAGAGAGTTAGAGCTAAGGAAGGGGTAGCAATAATGTTGAAGGATCAGTTATGGAAAGAGAAGAGGGAATGTAAATGTATAAATTCAAGGATTACGTGGATTAAAATTAGGGTCGGATGCAAAAAGTGGGTCACGATACGTGTATGCACCTAGAGAATAGAGGAGAGGGAGAGATTTTGGGAGATGTTAAGCAAGTGTGTAGGAACTTGAACCAAGTGAGAGAGTAATTGTGGTAGGGAAACAAAAGTAAGAGAAATGTTTAGAGAGGGTGTGGTAGATAAATTTGGGGTGCCAAGTGCAAATAATAATGGAGAGCTTTTATTTAAACTTTGTATAGAAAACGGTATGGTTATAGGTAATGCATATTCTAAGAGAAAGAGGATAAATAAGTATACAAGATATGATATAGGGTGTAATGAAAGTACAGGTTGACCATCACTAATCCAGCATCATAAGGGCCTGTAGTGCACTGGATTAGTGAGTTTGCCGGATTACAGAGGGGTTAGGTTAGAATACACTTAATTAACCCATCAATAGAGACTTTCTGCTACATCTTACTCATTTTCATCATTGCTTCCTCCTCCACTGACTTGCTGCTGTGGATTTACAACCATCTGCACAATTTCTGAGTCAGTATGATGATGAAATTTGAGTCAGTATAATGATGAAATTTGTAATTATGCTAGCCGAAATTAGTGCCGGATTACTGATGGAACCGGATAACTGATTGCCAGATTAGTGATGGCCGACCTGTAGTTTGTTGGACTACATATTGGTAGAGAAAAGACTGTTGAGTAGACTTCAGGATGTACATGTTTATATAGATATATCAGATCACATTTAAGTTGTAGCTACAATGAGAGTAAAAGGTAGATGGGATACAAGGAAAATAGAAGCAGCAAGCAAGAGAGAGGTGAAGGTTTATAAACTAAAGGAGGAGGCAGTTAGGGTATGATATAAACAACTATTGGAGGATAGATGGGCTAGTGGGAGTACGTATAGGCAATGGGGTAGAAGATGTATGGGATAAGTTTAAGAATATAGTGTTAGAGTGTTCAGCAGAAGTTTGTGGTTACAGGAAAGTAGGTGTGGGAGGGAAGAAGAGCAGTTGGTGGAATAATGATGTAAAGAGAGTAGTAAGAAAAAAAAAGTTAGCATATGAGAGGTTTTTACTAAGTGGAGTGATGCAAGGAGGGAGGAGTATATGGTGAGAAAAAGAGAGGTTAAGAGAGTGGTGAATCTGTGTACAAAGAGAGCAAATGAGAGAGTGGGTAAGATGTTATCAACAAATTTTGTTGAAAATAAGAAAAAGTTTTGGATTGAGATTAATAAGTTGAAAAAGCCTAGGGAACAAATGGATTTGATAGTTAAAAATAGGAGAGGAAAGTTATTAAATGGTGAGTAAGTGGTATCAAGATGGAGGGAATATTTTAAGGAATTGTTAAATGTTGAAGATAGGGAAGCTGTGATTTCGTGTATAGGGCAAGGAGGAATAACGTCTTGTAGGAGTGAGGAAGAGCCAGTTGTGTGTGGGGGAAGTGAATGAGGCAGTGGGTAGAATGAAAGATAGTAAAGCAGCTGGGATTGATGGGATAAAGATAGAAATGTTAAAAGCAGGTGGGGATATAGTTTTGGAGTGGTTAGTGTTTTTACTTAATAACTGTATGGAAGAGGGTAAGGTACCTAGGGATTGACAGAGAGCATGCATAGTTCCCTTGTATAAAGGCAAAGAGGCCAAAAGAGTGTAAAAAATTATAGGGGAATAAGTCTGAGGTAGTAGGTTGGTAGACAGCAACCACCCAGGGTTGTACTACCGTCCTGCCAGATGACTGCGAAACAGAAACCTTTAACTCTTTTACATGGTGGTAGGATTCCTGGTGTCTTTTTCTGTCTCATAAACATGCTACTTATACTTACACTTAGGTCACACTACATAGGCACGCACATGCATATACAGTGGACCCCCGGTTAACGATATTTTTTCACTCCAGAAGTATGTTCAGGTGCCAGTACTGACCGAATTTGTTCCCATAAGGAATATTGTGAAGTAGATTAGTCCATTTCAGACCCCCAAAAATACACGTACAAACGCACTTACATAAATACACTTACATAATTGGTCGCATTCGGAGGTAATCGTTATGCGGGGGTCCACTGTATATACATACACACATCTAGGTTTTTCTTCTTTTTTCTCAATAGCTCTTGTTCTTCTTTATTTCCTCTATTGTCCATGGGGAAGTGGAAAAGAATCTTTCCTCCATAAGCCATGCGTGTCTTATAAGGCGACTAAAATGCTGAGAGCATTTTATAAAACTGGGATGCTTGAATGTGCGTATATGTAGTGTGGATGACAAGAAAGAGATGATTGCTGATGTTATGAATGAAAAGAAGTTTTGATGTCCTGGCCCTAAGTGAAACAGAGCTGAAGGGGGTAGGGGAGTTTCGGTGGGGAGAAATAAATGGGTTTAAGTCAGGAGTATCTGAGAGAGTTAGAGCTAAGGAAGGGGAAGCAATAATGTTGAAGGATCAGGTATGGAGGGAGAAGAGGGAATATAAATGTGTAAATTCAAGGATTATGTAGATTAAAATGAGGGTTGGATGCAAAAAGTGGTTCATAATAAGCGTGTATGCACCTGGAGAAGAGAGGCGTGTAGAGGAGAGAGAGAGAGATTTTGGGAGATGATAAGTGAATGTATAGAAACCTTTGAACCAAGTGAAAGAGTAATTGTGGTAGGGGACCTAAATGCTCAAGTAGGAGAAACATTTAGAGAGGGTGTGGTAGGTAAATTTAAGGTGCCAAGTGTAAATGATAATGGGAACCCTTTGATTGAACTTTGTATAGAAAGGGGTTTAGTTGTGGTTAATACATATTTTAAGAAAAAGAGGATAAATAAGTGTACAAGATATGATGTAGGGTGTAATGACAGTTTGTTGGACTATGTATTGGTAGATAAAAGACTGTCGAGTAGACTTCAGGCTGTACATGTTTATTGAGGGGCAAGAAATATATTTGATCACTTTTTAATTTTAGCTACAGTGAAAGTAAAAGGTAGATGGGATACAAGGAAAATAGAAGCATCAAGTAAGAGGTGAAGGTATATAAACTAAAAGAGGAGGCAGTTAGGGTAAGGTATAAACAACTATTGGAGGATAGATGGGCTAGTGAGAGTATAGGCAATGGGGTCAAAGATGTATGGGATAGGTTTAAAAAAGTAAAGTTAGAGTGTTCAACAGAAGTTTGTGTTTACAGGAAAGTGGGTGCGGGAGGGAAGAAGAGCGATTGGTGGAATGATGATTTAAAGAGTAGTAAGGGAGAAAAAGCTAGCATATGCAAGGTTTTTACAAAGTAGAAGTGATGCAAGGGGGAAAGAGTATATGGAGAGAAAAAGAGAGGTTAAGAGAGCTGTGATGCAATGGAAAAATAGAGCAAATGAGAGAGTGGGTGAGATATTATCAACAAATTTTGTTGAAAATGAGGAAAAGTTTTGGAGTGAGATTTGACAAGTTGAGGAAGCCTAGGGAACAAATTAATTTGTCAGTTAAAAATAGGAGAGGAGAGTTATTAAATGGAGAGTTAGAGGTGATTTTCAGAAACATTATTATTTCACAAAAATATGATATACTGTATGTATGTCTTCACTCTCCAAGGATAGAATATCTTTAATAAGGTATTTAACTTCATAGATTTTTTTTTGTATGCAGAGATGGGATAATATCAATTATACTAACCACCTTAGGTATTGGTAGTTGCAGGCTTTAAATACAACATTATGAAATTGTGTAAAAGATTGTCTGCCTTTTATGAGACCTAGTATAATGCATTTACAAATCATTACATAAGTGGACTTTTCTTTGGGATTAATTGTTGTACTGTACTAATAATATAGGTCGTGGTGCCATTACTGGAGGCCGTGGTACCATTACTGGAGGTCGAGGTGCCCTTACTGGAGGTCGTGGAATTGGACGTGGAGGCAGAGGTGGGAGGTTTTTGAGAGGTCGAGGAGGCCGAGGCATGTTTCAGGGACGTGGAGGTACCAGGGGTGGAGTTCGTGGCCGAGGCTTTGCCGCTGGCCAAGGACGTGGAATTAATAGGTAAGATCTCTCATGGCCTTCATATGTACAGTATTTGTGTTAATTCTTTTCCATCTAATGTTCAAATTACTTTCAAATTTGTTAGCTCAAGTTCCTACAGGTTTGTCAACTTACATTTCAAAGATCCATATCTTTAATCCATATGTTTAATCTGCTTAATGTTAATTTTCCTAAAGGAAGACTCAAAGAAAAATGATTGGAAATGGGAAAGCCAGTGAGCACATTTTTCACAAAACTTTTGTGGTTTAACCCTTTCAGTGTCGAGACCCCATGATCATTAACCCCTAAACGGTCCAAACGTATGCACTGTATACACGTTCTTACCTATAGTGCCCCAAATGTATATTTATGTTTTATTTTTCCTGCCTCCAAATTTGGCACGATTGCCCTGAGATGCCTGGTCAGCATAGAATGGGTCTTAACACTCGGTGTGTGCAGTATTAAAAAAATCTGGGACCACTTAGTACCTTGTGAGAGCACCAGTTCAAATGAGTACCAGCTAGAGCAAAGAGCACAGCAAACACCTGGGATTCACTGATTTCATGTAGTATTAACACTTCCATTTTAAGAGGAAAGTGATGTTGACCCCAAGTTTCGTGGCTTGGAGGTGGATGTGGCCATAAGTGGTTGAGGAAATATCAAAAACCTCGATAATAACCCATGTGCAACACCCTTTCAGAATGTCTTACAACCTATGCCGTAAGTAAAGAGAAACTATTCTGGAACATGTAATAGGTGTTCGGCAGGGTGGCTGGCTGGCCAACTGGCTGGTCAGTTGCTGGCTGGCTGGTTCTATCTCCATCTGTCTGTCTGTCCTCGATCCTGAACTCTCACTCAGGGTCGAAAATTTTTCAAAAAAAAAAAAAAAAATCCTTATGAAATAATAGAGAAACTTTTCCCAGTGGTAATGACACCAAAAGTATAAAATTTGATGGAAAACTAACGGAATTATGCTCTCACGAAGTTAGCTGTCATGACAATAATTACGCATCAGTGATTTCACCCACTTTGAGCCCTATTTTCGGCCAATTCTAATGTTGCAGTCAACTAAACTCATTGCTATTTTGCTAGAAATCCATTTGTTCTATTGACTGGGTACAAGAAACTGCTCGTTTACCAATATCAACTATCCAATAAAGTGGTCAGAAACTGGCAATTTGGTCAATTTCACACAAATTTTGAAAGATGCCAGTTTCAAAATAGGGTCCAGAATAAACCAGACAGACAGTCCTGGCACTAAAATAACATTTTTCTCTGTTCATTAGTCACATCTCCAGGCCCCTCTTAATTACTCTTGCTTTCCATTTTGAATTTTTATTCTCACAAAAAAAATAGAAGATTACTGTTATGCAGACTACTGCATTATTGTAAAAAAATGGTATAAATAATATCAGCACACTTGTGAAAGAATGTTAAATTCACCACTTGATGTGTATTGGATGCGTGGTGTGATTTGTTTACTCTTGAACATCGGCAAAAATCAAACATTTCCGGTAATTTGAGCTCAATTTCAAGGTACTTTTCAATTTGAAACCAATCAAAATCATCTCCATTTCTGTAATATATCTTCTATTCGATCAAAAGAGACCAGGAAAACGAGAATACAATCATAAATACCACATGGAAATGCACTGCAGAGTCGCTGTTTTAACCCTTTCAGGGTCAAGAGGCCCTCTCCTAAACTCGTTCTCAGGGTTGAAAATTTTTTGGAAAATTTTTTTTTTTCTTATGAAATGATAGAGAATCTTTTCCCAATCATAATGACAACAAAAGCATGAAATTTGATGGAAAACTTACCGAATTATGCTCTTGCAAAGTTAGCGGTCTCGACGATGTTTACGCATCGGCGATTCGCCCAATTTGAGCCTTATTTTCAGCCAATTTCAGTGTACTAGTCGACAGAAATCATATCTATTTCGGTAGAACTTCATTTTTACTATCGAATGAGTACAAGAAACCACCCATTTACCGATTTCAAGTATCCAATAAAGTGGTCAGAAATTGGCAATTTTGCCAATTTCACACAAATTTCAGAAGATGCCAATTTCCAGATAGGGTTCAGAATAAACAAGACAAACATTCCTGGCACTAAAATAACATTTTCTCTGTTCATTAGTCACATTCCCAGGCACCTCTTACATCTCTTTTGCTTTCCACTTTGAATTTTTATTCTCACAAAAAATAGAAGATTTACTGTTATGCAGACTACTGTATTAGTGTAGAAATGGTGAAGAAATGGTATAAATAATATCAGTGCACTTGTGGAAGAATTTTAGACTCGCCAGTTGACGTGTATTGGACGCACAGCGTGATTTGTTTAATTTTGAAATTTGGTAAAAATCGAACATTTCTGCTACTTTGAGCTCAATTCCAAGGTACTTTTCATTATGAAACCAATCAAAATCATCTCAATTTCTGTAATATGTGTTCCATTCTGTGAAACGAGACCAGGAAAACTAGAATACAACCATAAATACCATATGAAAATACACTGCAAAGTCTCTGTTTTAAACCAAAAAAACATGGTCAGAGTTTTTTTTTTCTCTCTCTCATTATGCACTGTGTGCTGCAGGATTTTTTTTATACTGTGCACACTGACCACATAGATCCATTCTTTCATATGTAGGCCTACCAGCTTTCACTAGATTTGAAGGCACTAGAATTTAGGTGTTTTAGTATGTCAATAACCCTGGTGCGTAAGCCATACTAGTACGTCGGAGACCCTGAAAGGGTTAAACAAAAAAGACGGTCGGAGTTTTTTTTCCTCATGCACTGCATGCTGCAGGATTTTTTTTATGGTGTGTGCACTGACCACGCAGACCCATTCTTTCATGTGTAGGTCTACCAGCTTTCTTCCACCAGGTTTGAAGGCACTATAATTTTGGCATATAAATACGTGACCCTCGCTATTAAGACTTACATGTCCGTGACTGACATCCAGTCTGTGTCAAAAAATCTGCAAAAAATAAAAGAATTAGTTTTTCTTATGAAATGATAAGAGATGCTTCTCCCTATGATAATGACACGAAAAGTACGAAATTTAATGGAAAACTCATGAAATTACACTTGCGAAGTCAGTGATCTCGGCAATATTTACACATTGGCGATTTCACCCACTTTGAGCCCTATTTTTGGCCAATTCCATTGTTCCAGTCGACTAAAATCATAGCTATTTTGCTAGAACTGCATTTGTTCTGTTGATTGAGTACAAGAAACTGCCCATTGACAGATTTCCACTACCCAATAAAGTACAGTGGACCCCCGCATAACGATATTAATCCGTTCATGAGAGCTCATTGTTATGCGAAATTATCGTTATGCGAATGAATTTTCCCCATAAGAAATAATGGAAATCAAATTAATCCGTGCAAGACACCCAAAAGTATGAAAAAAAAAAAATTTTACCACATGAAATATACATTTTCCTACACACAAAGAGAAGGATACATGCACAATAGTCGAGTAGTACATGCACAGTATATATTGTGCATGTACTACTCTACTAAATGAAGAATAAATGACACTTACCTTTATTGAAGATGCAGCAATGACTGATGAGACACTGTGTCCTGGGAGTGCCTTTTCCTCCTGAGTACTGTAGGTCCTGTTCGGCATTTTCTTCCAGAACATGCCTTAACACACTGTGTATGCCACTATGATTCTTAAATCTCTCAAACCAACCTTTGCTGGCTTTAAATTCACCAATATGAGCACTAGTTCCAGGCGTTTTTCCCTGTTCACCTGGGTGTTAGTCGACTGGTGTGGGTTGCATCCTGGGAGACAAGATTAAGGACCCCAATGGAAATAAGTTAGAGTCCTCGATGATGCACTGACTTTCTTGGGTTATCCTGGGTGGCTAACCCTCCGGGGTTAATTGTTTCTCGGTAACTGTTTCACGTTAAGCCACATCAACAACACTCTCTCCACATCTTCGAGTAATACAGCTGATGGTGGTGCAGCAACAACAACAGCTGTGGTGCAGCTGACCATGGTGCAGCAGCAGCTGGGTGCATCAACAGCTGACCATGGTGCAGCTGCAGCTGTGGTGCAGCAGCAGCTGACTGTGGTACGATAGTATTTATCACCCTTTTTACCACAGGGTTGGCACTAGAAGCTTTCTTTGGGCCCATGGTGGCTTATTTAGCAGTTACAAGCACTATAAATAATGGAATAATACAAAATGTATTGAATGTATGCATGCAACCGGCCACCCTGGCTTGTAAACAATAACGGCAAGGCAGGCGCTCAGGCTGGACGGACAGGTTCGGGACGAGTCATGTTCAGAAACAGCTGATGGTGCAACAGCAGCTGACCGTGGTGCAGCAGCAGCTGACTGGTCCAGCAACAGCTGACTGGTCCAGCAACAGCTGACTGGTCCAGCAGCAGCTGACTGATCCAGCAACAGCGATTCTTAAATCTCTCAAACCAACCTCTGCTGGCTTTAAATTCACGAATATGAGCACTAGTTCCAGGCATTTTTCCCTGTTCACCCGGGTTTTAGTCGACTGGTGTGGGTTGCATCCTGGGAGACAAGATTAAGGACCCCAATGGAAATAAGTTATAGTCTTCGATGACACACTTTTTTGGGTTATCCTGGGTGGCTAACCCTCTGGGGTTAATTGTTTCCTGGTATTCTCAATAAGCCACACCAACAACGGTGCTACAGCAGCAGCAGCTGACAGTGCTACAGCAGCAGCAGCTGACAGTGCTACAGCAGCAGCAGCAAGCTGACAGTGCTACAGCAGCAGCAGACGATGCTACAGCAGCAGCAGATGGTACTACAGCAGCAGCAGCAGACGGTACTACAGCAGCAGCAGACGGTACTACAGCAGCAGCAGCAGCAGACGGTACTACAGCAGCAGCAGCAGCAGACGGTACTACAGCAGCAGCAGCAGCAGCAGACGGTACTACAGCAGCAGCAGCAGACGGTACTACAGCAGCAGCAGCTGACGGTGGTACAGCAGCAGCAGCAGCTGACAGTGCTACAGCAGCAGCGGACA